AGATATATATAATATATATATATATATTATATATATATATATACTATATATATATATATAAATATATATATATATATATATTATATTATATATATATATATATATATATATATATATTATAGTATATATATATATATATATATATATAATATATATATATATTACTATATATATATATATATATATATATATAAAGAGTAATTGTACACATGATCACTATTATATAAATATTATGTCAGGTTACACGATATTTTCGTCACTTGGTAGTATTGATGTATTGTTAAATATCGTTCATTGTTTATAATATTAAATATGTGATTTAATATTATTGTAAATGTTACGAAAATCTATAGTGTCACACTAATAGAATACCGATAGTGATATAAATGATTAAATTAAATAATATTTAATTTAATTATGTTTTAATAGTCTTTTAAATTTACTTATAAGATTAACACATATATAATTTATTTAATTAAATATATTTTAATTAAATAAATGAGAATTGTCAGTTAAATAAATTAAATATAATATAATTTAAATATTTATATTTTATTTTTATTAAAAGAGTTTAATTAAATAAAATTAATGAAATATTAAATATTTAATTAAATACAAATAAGATTGAATTTAATTTGGAAAAGTTTAAAATAAAAGCATTAGAATTTTAGTAGTTCATTGTAAATAGATAAAATCTTTCTCCTATAATCATAGTTTTTGTGATTCTTAAAAAAAATCAATATTGCATTTTACTTTGTCCTCGCATGAATTTCGTAGAGACGATGGTAATTTTCACGTTCGTGATTAAAATTAAAGCAAATTTCAAAAAAATATTTATATAATCTCAATTATTTAATTTGTGATTAATAATTTAATTAAGATCCGTTCATCAAAATTATTTTATTAAGATTATTTTTTTGAAAATCTCTCTTTAAATCCCTTTAGTTATATAGAGACATCTAAATGTAGAGCACGAATTCTAACTCGAAACATTTTATTTATTCACTTTTGCAAAAGTGAAAGTTACTAGACTAAAAAAATGGTTATATCAAACATCTTTTAGAAAAAGTTAATAAAACATAATAAATATTTTCTAACTCAATTGAAAAATATTGATATTGCTAGACTGACTGCTTTATTCTAGATTTGAATTTGAGACTTCCATATTTGAATCTGTGAGTTTTGTGGTTATTATCACTTAATCTACATACAAAATATTAAAAAAAATGGTATATTTTTGTTGAAAACCACTTGTTACATTGGGTGAATAAATTATTACAACTCAATTTGGAAAACAAAATTTTGTCACTTTTATTGATCATCATGCAACACTATATTGGGTATATCTTTATGAAGGATAAATCTGAACTATTCCAATGGTTTTCAAAAATGATAGAAACTCAATTTAATACAAAAAAATCTCCATTTTGAGAATTGATAATGCAACTGAATTTTAATAAAAATTTCAAATAGTTTCTTCAACCTAAGGGAATCCACATCAATCAATATGTCCAAATACACCTCACAAAATGGCACGGCTAAAAAAAAGATAAGCAACTTTTTAAGATAGTTTGCGTCATTATGTTTATGAATAATGTTCTTGAGTTTTTATGAGGTGATGTTCTAAGAGAACATATTTTATAAACACGATGTTTACTTGTATATTAAATTATTAAATATTATTAGATGTTTTAAAAAAAATCAAAAATGTAAATTACATATTGATTTAACTATAAAAGTGTTTAATTGTAACATTTTTATGTACTCATAACTCTAAGTATAAATTAAATTTAAGAGTGGAGAAATACATTTTTGTTGAATATTCTCTAAGAGACTAAAGGGATATTATCAATGTTACAATCACATGAACTATAATATTTTTAAACTAAAATTCTTTTTAAGGTGAGGGTGGGAGTGAATTCAATTTTTTTAATAATAAATTTTTAAATGAATCTTTTTCACATCCTAATTTATATTCTAAAAATACACAGTTAAATAATTATACAGTTAAACATAAAGAAGAACGTGTAAAAATAAGTTTTAAAAAAATTAATAAAGGGGATCTTGTCATGGACCTAGGTGGTACCCAAATAGAGAAAAAAAATACCACAATAAAAAGTATAAACTTCTTATTTATTCTCGAAAATTTCCTCAAAAAAACATAATGAGTCCATCATTTTTCAACCAACCAACCAAAAATCTTAAAAGATTGTTCAACAAAGATACCACAAGAACAAACAAATAACTCTAAATATTCAACTCTTGATATTGATCGACATATAACCCTTAGGAAAGACGTCAAAACCTGCACACAAAAATCAGTCAAAATTAATACAAGTTATCTGATTTTAAATTATGTCACATACAAAAACATTTTCAAAAATCACTAAGCTTTTACCTTTAAAATTATTGATTTGTTTGTGCTAGAAACAATGAGGAAGCACTTGATAATACAAATAAAGGTTAGTAGTCCTAAATAGTTTAATGCACTAAAGAAAAAACAAACATGGAAAACTATGAAACCACCACATGATAATTTGAAGGTAGAATGTAAGTGGTATTTACCATCAAATGCAAGCTAGATGAAAGTGTGAATAGGTATAGAGCTATATTGAGTTGCTAACCTTTACATCAATTAGAAGTAAAGAATGCTTTTCTAAATGAGAAATTGGAGAAAGAAGTGTATACGAGTCTTTCTCCTAGATTTTAGGAAGAAACATGGTGTGTAGGTTAAAGAAGTCTTTGTATATATTGAAATAATCTCGAAAAATATTGTTTGAGGGGTTTAGAATTGTGGTCAAAGGACTTGGTTAGACCAGAGCCAAGTATATCTTATTATGTTTTAGACTTGAATTTTCAAGATCAAAGGAAGACATCTTTATGAATGAACAAAATTATATTCTAGATCTATTAAAGGTAGTAGGATTACTTGGATGTAAAGTTTTTTAGACACCTTATGAACCCAATAAAAGTTATAGCTAAGTTAAACTGAAAATACAATAGATAAAGAAGTACATCATCTTAGAATTGTAGTTTAGTCTAATTAATCTTACGAAAAAGTCATATCTTATCTAATATGAGATTCTTAATAGTCTAGTATGTCGTTCAATATGTGCATATTAACTTAGTAAATAAAAAAAATATCTTTCAACTTGACATAGTCATATTTAAAAGACAATCTTAAAAGAATGCTTTTTCTGCCCCCAATGAAATAAACTTAAAAGACAATCTTAGAAACTTACATTTAACTTCATTATCTTCAAATGGATGTAAACCCCACTCACTAGGGTTGAAATCCAATAGCGAATCCAAAACTTGGTCTGCTGGGCCATGAAAAGATTTGTCCATCCTTTGATCAGGAACCATAACAACAGACCTGCAAGACATATAACAAGTAAACATCAAAAAATTGAACAAAAACATTATACTAATTCCTACTTGCACAATGCATGTATGTGCTTAATATGAGGGGTAAGAAATCGGAATAAACCACTTACATCCCAGCATTCTTAGCTGCGAGAACACCAGATGGTGCATCTTCAAAAACAAGTATGTTACTTGGGTCTACTGGTCCACCCTGTTGATAATCAATTTATCATTAACTAAAAAACATCATTATGTATGATCACAAATAAAATAAAGTTTAAAATACAATCATTAATACTAGTAATAAAGTCTTTATTATAACAAAATTTTACTTTTTAGATTCATTTAAGAATCAATGTAATATAGTTCAGATACATTAATTATTCAATAAATATAAAAAATAAATTTTTTCTTATATTTAGAACCAGAGGTAGCATATTCATGACTATCACAAGTGTATAGAATTCATTAATTGTTTTACCTCAAATCTCTTGGATGCAACAAGAAATACATCGGGTGATGGTTTTCCATGTTTAACTTCAGGGTCATCACCAAGAACAATGTGATGCATCAAAGAAAACATTTCACTATGTCTTTGTGTTTTCAATTCAAAATGATGCCTATGAGAACTGTGAGCAAATTGACAAAAACAATGTTGTATAAGAAGTCACTCATGATACATAACATGAAATAAATCTCTTTTCTTTAACTGAAAAAGAAAGGCACGAGATGGATGAAATGTACCTAGATGCCACAGCAATAGGAACTCCTTTTGCATGAAGATGATTGAGTAAACGACTAACGCCTATGATAAATGAGTAGCAGACAGAAGAAGAATGTCAGTATATAATCTATGATGCACGAACTCCGACACGAATATAACATTTCATTAAGTCTTTATGTTTATGCAATCACCATTCTATATATATATATATATATACCTGGCAAAAGCTCACTTTTTGGAAACAAACTCTTGAGCTTCTCTTCTCTTTCAACAAGAAATTGGTCAGCAGTAAGTGAATCATTGATTCCAGTCTCTTCAACAAAGACCTTAGCAGCTTCAATTGCTTTCATTCCCAACATTTTTGCTTTAAGAGGCCAATCAAAGGTTTTATTGTATCTAGAAAGTATATTTTCCTTAACTTCAGTATAGAACTTCTCCGTGTCTGCAATAACATCAAATTGCCAAATCAACTAACACTTTCAATTCATGCATGTAAGAACACAAACTATAAAAGGGATTGATGGAGAAACAAAGAGATACCGAGTAAGAGACCGTCCATGTCAAAAACAACATGCGTGATTGTCTTTCTGAAACCAGAGGGATTTCCCATTGCGCTATATACCATGCTTCTGATCTTGTATGAGGATGCACATACATGCAAGTTGGGCTATTGAGAGCTTAGTATATATAATGGTTCAATATGCATGCAATTAACTAAAGTCCAACACTTACTTTCATAGAGACTCTCAACCTACTAGGGAACTCGTTTGTTAATGACAAAGTTATGGACCACACAATACTCTCAACCTAAATAACAGCTTTTCTTTTAATTTTGCTTTAAAACAATATTTTTTACTCAAACTACCCTTATTAAGTTTTTATATATTTATTTTATAAGAAAAGTAGAAAAGAAATGCTTATTCATAATGTTTCATACATTAAAATAAAATAATATGTGAATTCTACCATCCATTAAATCCATTTAAATAATTAATTAAAATAAAATTAAACAAAACGTGATTTCCAACACCCCATTGAATTGATTTAACAAAAATCTTAACCATTATAAAAAATAAATTAACTATAAATTAGTTATTTTTCATGGTTGGTTGGAGCAATTCAAATGTATATGTCAGTTGAGTTAAATTAGTGTAATCTACTAATTTATGTTTAATTTTTTTAACAGTATTTATTTATTTATGAATTAATTTAAATAAATTATTAATTTTTATAAATTAATAATAAAATAAAAAAATTTATAACCCACTACCACACCGTCTCATTAATTTTACTAATTTTACGAGCGTATAAAATTATTTTACACATGGATCCAATTAAATTATAATATATAAATATTTAAGATTATATTTTTAAAACAAATCTATAAAGGCAGTAGTATGATATGATTTTATTGGATGTATGTGTAAAAATAATGTACACCGTCACTATATAAAATTAATTTCGTGTGGCAGACTACTAAGAAACTGGTTTGTTAATGACAAAGTTATGGACCACACAAACACAAAGCTAAAATGTAAACGACCAATGCATGTAATTCAACAGCAAGGTGAAAACTACAAAACATGTGAAGAAGAGAAATATTATTGGAAAAAGAATAAATCCACCATCTTGCTCACTCTAAATGTTTGGAGCTAGTGGCTTAAGTGAAAACTTTAAACTCCTAAGTCCTATCAACTACCCTTGAATTTGTTGATAAAATTACTATTTTTTTAAGAAAAATATTATTATGTTAGTAAATATTACAAAGAGATTAACTCAAGAGCAACCGAATGAGATGATAGATAATTTTTTCAGATTAACTAGAGATTTTGAGTTTAAATTTACTATCAACATTAACAACACTTTATCAATCTTTCAAAGATAGTTTCTTATATCTCTAGCGATCCAATTCACTTCCTCTATATAAAGAAGACTGAAGATGAATCAAAAAATACACTACTGTGCATACAAAAAGATATATCTTTACTAGCTCTCTCATGTGCTTTAATCTTATGTATACATCACTGTTGTGCTATAGTTTTTTTAATAAAAAACCATTTGCACACATCTTTATTGATTTATATTTTGTAATACCTTGAGAAACCAAGTCGTGGTTTAGAATCAAGAAGACATTGACGGTAGTTATTGTGATTATGTAATCAATATTTTGATTAGTGGGTTAAGACCTCGTTTGAGAGAGGTGAAATCACCTTGACGGATAGACTTAGTAGTTTGAGTTCAAACGAACCAGGATAACCAAACGTGTCATACTATTTTAATTTTGAAAACCCCAATCCAAACCCTCCTTTCTTGTGTTTTTCTATCCTTCAATAATGAGAGATCTTAGGGGCAAAAATTGGGGTATAACAGATACCTAATTGGGACATCTAAGTTTAGACTATGGTATTCCAAGGGAATTGATTATACCTTGATTGGTTACTTCGATTCCGATTTTGTTGGTTGTAAATTTGATAGGAAAAGTACTAGTGGAACATGTCATATGTTTTCAAAATCCTTGATAAGTTGGCATAGCAAAAAGCAAGTTTTCCTATCATGTATGACAACACTAGTGCGATTAATCTAACCAAAAATCATGTATTACATTCAATCACTAAACATAATGAGATACACCACCACTTTCTTTGTGACCATGTTGAAAAATAGAATGTTGTGTTTGAGCATGTTCAATTTTTTCCAAAGTATTTATTTATATTTATGAATTAATGTAAATAAATTATTGACTTTTATAAATTAATAATTAAAAAAGATTTTATAATCTCTTACCACACCATTTCATTAACTTCATTTGAGTGTAAAAATTATTTTACACATGCACCCAAGCATGATATATATAGATATTTGAGGTTATATTTTCAAAATAAATCTATAAAGGTGGCACTATGATATGATTTTATTGGATGCATGTGTAAAAGTAATTTACCAAGTCTTTATATAAAAATAATTTTGTGTGCAGACCGAATGGAACGATTATTGATTATGTGGAGACAAGGTTTGTTTGATCTCAATTTCAATTTTATAGGCAAGGATTGTGTAGGTATCAATGTGGTTTGGATGAGAATTAACTTGTATATTATCAACATTTATTCGTTTTATTTTATTCGAAATAAAAGGTTGTTGTAGGAAGGAATTATTATTTGTAAGGCCAGGTTTGTTAAAGGTGATTGATTTTTGGGAGGAATTTTAATGCTGTTAAGTTGGAGGGGGGAAGAAATGATAGATTTGTTGCCATTAATCATTCGAAAATGGAGGTTATTGGGGATTTTATTGATAGTTTGGAGTTGGTTAATCCTACGGTCACTGGTAAAATATTCTCTTGGTCTAGTTTGGATGGTAAATCCATGAGTCATATTGATAGATTCTTGTTATCAAATGGCTTGCTAGAGTGTTGCAAGGTGGTGGGTCAGATTATTGGTGATAGAGATCTTTTTGACCATTGTCCGATTTAGATTAAAGTTCGTGTAACTAATTAGGGTCCTAAACCGTTTGAGGGAGATAAAAGTCTAGGTCCGGATGGTTTCAATTTTGGGTTCTTTAAAACTTGTTGGTGGGTGGTGAAGGATGATGTTGTCAGATTTGTTAATGAGTTTCATTTAAATTATGTGGTTCCTAAAATGGTAACAGCGACTTTTCTTGCTTTGATTTCCTTGGATGATTACTGGCCAATTTTTCTCATTAGTAGTTTGTATCATTTTTTTTTGGAAAAGTTGTTTGCGGGTAGATTGAAGAGATTCATTGGTAAGCTTATTTCTCCGTGTCAATCCATTTTTTATCGGGTAGAAACATGTTAGATGGGGTGTTGGTGTTAAATGAGGTGATGGACTTTGGAAAGCAAAATAAGAAGAGTTGTTTGTTAATCAAAGTGAATTTTGAAAGGGCTTATGATTGTGTATCGTGTAATTTCTTGTGATTCTTATTTGAGAAGATAGGTTTTGGTTCTAAATGGAGAAGTTGGATGAAAGCATTAGTTTTCACTAGTTCCTTATAAATTTTAGCTAATGGAAGCCCGACCAAAGACTCTGAGATTTCTAGAGGATTCCGCCAAGGAGACCCTCTTTCTCTTTTTCTCTTTTTGTTGGTAGGGGAGGGTCTTGCGGCTATGATGAAGAAGGAAATTTTAGTAGAAGAATTTGATGGTTTTCATTTGAATAATGAGGTGTACTTTTAGATTCTTTAGTTTGTGGATGATACCATACTGATAGGTTAAGGATCTTGGGGAAACTTATAGAGTACTAAAGCTCTTCTTAGGGGTTTCGAGTTGGTTTCTGGATTGTGGATTAATTTGCCTAAAATTAGACTTGTGGGGATCAATGTTAATTCTGATTTTCTTCAAGCCGCGTCTACTTTTCTTAATTGTAACATCGGAGTTCCTTCTTTTTCCTTTCTTGGTATTCTGATTGGGGTAAACCCGAGGCGGAAAGAGGTGTGGAGGCCTATTGTGTCGAAGATTAGGAGAAGGCTTTCGAATTTGAAGAATAAGAAGTTGTCTATGGGAGGGGGAGCGGTGCTTTTGAATTCTATTTTAACAAATATCCTATTTATTTCTTCTCGCTTTACAAGGCACCGAAAGCATTTGTGAAAGAAATAATTATGCTCCAACGATGGGGAGGTGTGGAAGAGAATAGAAAGATCAATTGGGTTGGTTGGAATGTCATTTGTCGTCCTAAAGAAGAAGGATACATTAAACATTATAGAAGATTTAATATTTCTTTTCTTTGCAAGTGAAAGTGGAGAATTTTGAACGATGGGAATGTTTTTTGGACTAACTTAATTTCTAGTAGGTACGGTGACATTAAGAGGAAAACAATTGATGATGCTAATCTCCAATTAAGATCTAAAGTATCTCTTTGGTGGAAAGATTTGTGCCCAATTGGTTCATGCCCTGTTAGTTCAAATGGGAATTGGTTTTGCAATTCTATTTCATGCAAGATGGAGAATGATGAATTCTTTAATTTTTGGAAGGATAAGTGGTTGGGTTCGACGTTGTTACACATGTTATTTCTAGAGCTTTTTTCTCTAGTTTATTTGGATAACTTACGAATTATTGATGAAATTCTAGCACACTAGATAGATGTTAAGACTGATGTCACAACACCTAAACACGATGTCAAGGCAGATGTTAAGACATCATCTTACTGACAGATCAATTTACAAAACACTAAATCATGCAGAAGGTAAATTATAGAAGATAAATAATATAGTCAAATGTTAACCCAATTCAGTGCAACAACACCTACTATAGGGGCATCTAAGCCAAGAAGGAAAAACACTATAATAATATTAGTTCAAAGCTTAAACAACCCTAATTTAAAACTTATCACTTAATCATACTCATGCAATTTCTACCTAGGAACCTCCTAGGTATGAGAAACCCCTCTCACTTCCCACAATCACCTCAGTGATAATAACAATGACCAAAATAGAAGAACATACTTTTAATTACACATATTACACTCTTTTCTTATAAGCTCGTGAGTTAATCATAATGGACAATGAATAATGAACAATCAGTCTACCTCAATGCATTAAATAAGATACATGAATGACATACGCACACAAAGAACAATAGAAAAACTCTCAAGAACCTAAATACTTTTGAACAAAAAA